AACCCATGGCCTCATACTTATGCCATCGGGCCAGAAGTGACTGCCAATAGCTATGTCAGCATCCTCCGATAGGATGTTTAACTGTGCCGAGGCTGTACCTCAGAAACGTAACACGCACACCAGCTTCTTCCAAGAAGTCGCGCATGGCTGATGCGGAAGCTATATTCTTGCTGATGCCATGAATGTAAAATCGACTAATTCTACGCCTTACTTGTGTCGTATAACCAACAAATTTCTCTGATAAACTGGAGTTGGATTTTGGTGTTGAATTACAAACTGATGTAGGAAAATGCACATGTATCTGCCTCTTGCATTCTTTTCCTTTATCCTTGACATCCTCTACGACATTGTCCGTTACATCGTTTTTGTGTACTATTCCGTGTTCACTTGTGTTTTCCCGAAGTTCCGTACGGAAAGTATCGGACCGATTCCTGCATTGGACTGTTGGTCCCATAACTTCAATTTCAACTGGATAGGCGTCAATGGTTTGAGTACTTTTTGACATTTGAGCACTCGTTGTTTTACATAACCCTTTAGCATCATTCCTCGCGTCTTTGGTAATATTCTTCTCTTTTGTTGATTTCCTCCTTTCGGTAAATTCCTGATGTAGGATTGACACTGGTTAACGTCCTCAGTAAGTTTGTCGATTTGCTGATCACCACTTTTCGCGATTCGGCTACCAACCTTACAGAAGTTTTAAGGCTGACTATACCATTAGATTGTTCGTCATCAAATCTCGACGCAATTTGTTATTTTTTAATTCATTCAAGTCTCTTGATTACAACTACTGCTTCCTTCAACACCTCGATGCCCGACACTTCCGGTTCCGGTTTGGATTTTACACTCTCTGTGCGCTTGTGCTTTGCCGGTACCACTTCCATTAAATCTTCTGAGTACTCACCTTTACACGCACGGGATCAAATTAAACAGTCCCTTGCTAATTTCTGTTGCAAGGTCGTGGCACCTGGTTTTCGAGCTTCCAGTCTCTTCCGTAGTTGACCCTCAACTTATTACCACATACATCAAAACTCTAACGTAGATGTCTATTGTTGCAATTTTTCTAAAAATAAAAACTCAATCACACCAAAAAAACACCTGATAAATATTTCATTCGACCACTATAGTATATACTGTACATACATGTAGGTTGTTTATAATTTTCAGGGAGTTAAAACATGTCTCCTTAATAATGTTCAGAAAATATTGACATACATTCAGTAACAAATAGCATGACTAGAGGCAGAGTGGGTTATTAGACTTTCTGCTTTATTAACAAATGTCTGCGGATCGAACTTTCGTTGCTGAGCCAAAATGTTTTGTGAAAGAAAATGAAATTCAGCTGTTGTATTCCTTTTGTTTATCTTAGACTGTATTTTACTTACTTTTTTATTTTTATCCTGAATTTCTTTTTTTTCCAATATTACTTCCCAGTAGGAGATCAGAATCGGAGAAAGGGGTTGCAACTTCCCAATCACCAGTGAGTTTTAATCATTACGATCAGAACCCAAATTCATCACGTTCACTGTAGCCCAGAGGGCTGCAGGTAAGAATTTCCGTACTGAGACAACACAGAGAAGACAGGAACATTTATTTCACCTAATTTTAAGATTATTTTCTTGGTGTTCATTTAACAATAATTTATTTTACAAATAAATGAAAGCTTTAAAGATAAAATGAACTCTATCTATATATTTATACTTAAATTTTAGAAATATGTAAATTATCATTAATGTATGAAAACTTTGCAATTTGAGTATATTTGTACTATACATTGATGTTAATTGGTGTTTTTAAGTCCATATCGACGACATCTTGTATGTAATGTTAACCGATGTTTTCACGCCTTGTACACACATATGCTGATGAAGACATGCGATTTATATTACCTTACCTGTCAATCTTCTAACACCGTATTCATTATTGGTTTCAAATATTTCATTCATTTAGAGCACAGAACGCTAGGCTTAGGCCTACATGTTGCTGAAAATGCTAGTTTTGTCAATTTTCATAATAAGAGTAAAGGGAGATAACTCCAAGAACTATACTGACCTATCAGGAAATTTAAACACAGGGACCTGATAACTTGTTACGGCTACACTGAACAACGGTATTTATAGTAATTTTACACGTTTTACGGGTTTAGATCGACTTTCGGTAAAAATACCACCCAAAGCCCTCAATGTCGAAAAATCGACTGACCCACCTAACTTTTTTGCATCATAAATCACATTTCTAGTTGATGTACGAAAAATGCTTAGAACCGTTTGAAAGTTGGATATTTTTTCTTTTAAAACCACCATTGCGCGTATAATAAATTCTCTTTCCGCGGACATGATCTCCGTTTCCTCTAAAAGCACACGCCATATCATCATTGGGGGTGGCATTTTTACTGAAAGTCGACCTAAACCCCTTAAAAGTTTAAAATTACTCTTTAGAACACCTTATTTTAAGTTTGTTCTGCTTGATTGTAGTGGTAAAAGCTTACCACGTTTATAAATAAGAACCTGTTTCTGGTTTTGAAGAAATTAAGACATTGAATGTACCTTTCTAAATTTTGCCACGTTGGCGTATACAGATAAATATTGGTTACCACAGAGACGTATGGAATATAAATATACGTCTCTGCATGGTTACCACAAAAAAGTAATCTAGTGTATTTAAACTTTAAAAATGTGTGCGCCTCTGATGAGTAAAGTTTTTTTCCCAAAGTTTATTTTCTTGCCACACAACATTTTTTGAATACTGCCAGGGATGGGCCCCTGGATTCATTATCCTTACAAAAAATGTCCTCAGGCTCTTATTCATTCATTCTTTCATTCAATTGTTTACTTATTCATTCATTCTTTCATTCAATAGTTTACTTATTCATTCATTCATTTCTTTTCATTTTCTCCTTTATTTTACATTTATTCCTTTATTTTACATTTTCTCCTTTATTTTACATTTATTCCTTGTTTACATTCATTCATTTATACATTTATTATTTCCATTAATTCTTTCATTGTTTACACTCATTCAATCATTTTATCTTTTTATTCATACATTTGGAAGTTTTCTCATTTATAATATATACAAAGATACTATATAATACTTGGTAAATGTACTGAGGCATGATATAGGATGATGAGTAAAGTGTGTACAGTTGAAAAAAGAGGCGATAAGCTTTCTCGTGGGGGTGACCACAATATTCAGAAATGTGATACAGATTTCTCTAACTGAAACACATATATTTTTGAAGAAGTATTCCAATATCTCTAATTGAACTAAGAAATATCTCTTTTTGTCTCTGTTTTGAAGATATCTTTAATTCCTTTAAATGTATAGCTCTATTATATCTGAATCTGTATCTCATAAGTAATAACGACAGTACGATCCAATATATTGACACTGGATTCGATCAAACAAATGTTGGTTGGATGCGTATTATTCAAATATATATAAAAATGCCAACCCCAATGATTTTTTATTCGAGCTAAAATTACTCTGAACACCTTAGTTTAGGTCCAAATATAGCTGTAATAACGACAGTATGATAATTAGATACATCTATTACATTCTAAGATAATTGTTAAGTTTTTGCGATCCCCTGTGGGTATTAAATGTTAAGTTGGCTTGCCACAGTAAGACGATAAGATCATGGTTATTACTCATAATGTGTAATATTTTTCCTGAAGTGAGTGGAAAATTGTTTAGGCATTTTAGGGGTTTAGACAAAGTAAAATTTCATACCAAATGATTATATATTTCTTATATCATCAGTGGGAAATATTATTTTAACCACTCAATCTAAACCCCTTTTAAAACGTCTAAATATGAAACTCCATACACATCAGAAACCCAACCTTACATACTAGGATCTATTCTCAGGCCCCTGTGCGGGAAAATAAATAGTTCGTCTCATTGTTCAGTTATAAAAAAATATTTCAACCCATCAACTATCAAGTAACTAATCATATGCGGGCGTTATGTACGCTTTAATGTTTATAACCGATACAAAAACAAATACCTGTTCAGTTTGAAGTGTTCTTGAAAGAAACTGATAATAATAACAATTTAAAGGATGTGTTGGTCACAAGGTCTGACGACGTATCGACAATCACGAGGCCGACAGCGTCTGATTGGGAAGATAATACGGACAAGCAAAGTTAGTAATTCGCTTGTCATTAGATAACAGGCGGATTGGACCGGACGATAACATCCGATTATGCTATAATTATGAAGAGCACAAGGACCAGATACGTTCGACATATGGGACTTGTGCAAGTCCAGTGCTCAAAGTACTTTTATTAACTATCATCTCAGTAATAGATGACAGCACTGCTGCTGTCGCTACTAACACCATCGCTCCATATAAACCTGTTTCGGGGAAAGTATAGACATGCAATATTCCACTTTATGATCGTATGGGGCGACTACAGTGTAATGTGGGCATCTGCTATATCTTTTCCGCGGCGTCTCGATGGTTAGACCGTAGTCAGAATAATGTCTCTACGTATCTTGTTTGAGTCCAGGCCATGTAAATGGAAACAATGTTGGCCCCAGGTTTTCCTGGTCCGTGGTTCGAATATTTTTTCCAACTCGAGCATTTTAAAACTTATTCATTGTTTTATAAGTTACAGTTTCAGTGATCAAGCGTACAGCGATGACAATATCGCCTATATGGCAAAGCCGTTTTAACATTAAATCATATTTCATATTAAGGTAAATTATATGCTAAATTTATTTCACTTATGAGAAATTCTTTTTACCTTAAGGTAAATTAACCATTTTCATTATGTGTTTTTTCACTTACGTGAAAAAGAATTTCACTTAAGGTAAAAAGATTTTCACTTAAGTGAAAAATAATTTTTCTTAAGTTAAAATATGATTTAATGTTAAAACGGCTTGCCATAATCGCCCGGTATCACAGTGCTGCTCTATCTATTATCAATATATTTGTTTTACTATTCACTTGGTCAGGCCTCATTGTTATCTATATGGTATCTAATATACACCTGAGATATACGTCAGGACAATACGAAATGCGGTTTGTGTTTTCGAATTTTGGAATGTAACACTCTGCTATGCAGTGATATTGTTATGATTGTCATCATTTGCGATCATTTACTTGGATTGAATTCGAGACTAAAATTCGTACTGCTCAGATAATCTCACGTCTACAACCGTTTTGGAAACGATTATGTCCAGTGTTGCGGGCCTTCTGGCCCTAATGACGGCCATCATGCACGTGTCGGAGGTCCAGGCCCAGTGTACCATGATTGACGCTTGTTCATGCTTCATGCCGGACGGAAATGTTGTGGATATTAAATCTTTAGGAGACAATAACGGATTCGCCAAGTAAGCACACGGCCACACTTTTTGAATCTAGCTCACATCATAAGATAACATTCACTAACTTAAAGCCGGCACATTTCCCACTGTCTTTGTTCGAATATTTCGTGTCTCTGTACGAATATTCAGCGTCACTGTGCGAATATTCAGTGTCACTGAACGAATATTCAGCGTCACTGTGCCAATATTCAGTGTTACTTTACGAATATTCGGTGTTACTGTACGAATATTCAGTGTCTCTGTACGAATATTCAGTGTCACTGTACGAATATTCAGTGTCACTGTACGAATATTCAGTGTCTCTGTACGAATATCCAGTGTTACTTTACGAATATTCCGTGTCTCTGTACGAATATTCAGTGTCTATGTACGAATATTCAGTGTCACTGTACGAATATTCAGTGTCACTGTACGAATATTCAGTGTCTCTGTACGAATATTCGGTGTCACTATACGAATATTCGGTGTCACTGTACGAATATTCAGTGTCACTGTACGAATATTCCGTATCTCTGTACGAATATTCAGTGTCTCTGTACGAATATTCCGTGTCTCTGTACGAATATTCAGTGTATCTGTACGAATATTCAGTGTTACTGTACGAATATTCAGTGTTACTGTGCGAATATTCATTTTCATCGTACGTTCAGTTTGATTGTGCGAATATTCGGTGTCACTCCACGAATATTCCGTGTCACTCCAACGAATATCCCGTGTCACTGTACGAATATTCAGTGTATTTCACATCGGTCTTCAAAATAACATAACAGACATCTTTCAAAACTGGTTTCATAGTAAGGGTGCAATTGGGAAATACACACTTCAGTCTGGCACTTGCTATATTGCTGTGACTCTTTGTGAGTCTCCTTTTCAAAAGAAGTTTTAATTTATACTAGTTTTAAGATACATGTAAACGTAGTGGAACTGAAATGGGTTGATCTCCAGCGACCTGGTACAATAATGTAGCTCAATAGGTTAGAACGTCCGTCTAGAGATCGGAGGTTCGGGTTCGAATCCTAGTCTCTCCATGGATTTTCCCTCTCCTTTTACAGTGCTGCCGTGGGTTGTAACTATAGGTTTCTTCATGGAAGGTATTTGAAACAGGAGGAATGCAGAGGAACTCTATTGAATCAGTTGGCGGCATCAACTTCTGTAGCTCAATTGATTAGAGCGTCAATCTAGAGTTCAGAGGTCCCGGGATCAAGTTCCGGTCTGACTGTGCATTTTACCTCACCTGTAACATGTATAACCTACCACTTACTCCCCAACAACAGCTTCATAAATGTATTTTAACTTTAACCTACAGTTTATTTTACTCCGCCATATATCTTACCCCCAACAACCTTTTCTTCAAATCCCTTTTGCACTTTTTTCGATCCTCCCTCCCCCATCCTCTTCTTTTCCATATAACTATATGTGTATACTATTAGTCAGTGCCGCCCAATCGCCACTTCACGAAAAAAGGTGAGGAGAAACATAATTATTTTGTACTTGTTTTCGAATCCTATATGTATTATGAAATAAAGTTTAAACTAACCTTCAGTTAATTGGTATCATCTCTGCATAATAAAATGAAACTTAATATGATTTTCAACTAATTTAAGTTTTTAAGGTAGATAACTCTTAAATGTATCACAGATAGTGCGTGTAAGTGTAGCGTGATACCTTTAGATATAGTAAATATCCATTGGTTGTAGGTTTTTCGCCGTTCCTGGGCCCGACGCCTTTTATTATTCCTTGAATCTGTGTTATCCATTTAACGAAGGAGCATGTTCGGGAGCTGCCGTGAGTATATTTATAATCGAAACTGATACAAAATATGTTCTCGTCTAACAATAAAATAAATTGTGATGAAACGTTTGATGATGAAGTAACGGGGGAAATGTGTATAAAAACAGAAAGGGATGTCATTAAAGAAAACTAATATCTCGGTAGTATGGCTTTATTCATATGCCCATTATTCCGTCTTTGCGTAATGCAGAGTTATCTTCTCTTGGGAGCAGGTATTGATTGTTACGTCATTGGTTTGTGTGAGAAAATTACGTCGTTTTCTCAAAAATTGATGACGTTACTCTCACTAACAAGTGACGTAACAATCAATACCTGCTCCCAAGAGAAGATAACTCTGCAATACGCAAAGACGGAATACTGACAACGGGGTTAGAAGACACCGCCAAGACGAAAGAGTAGGAATGAGTTGGATAACAGAAAAGACAGAGGTCCATTGCAATATTATTGTAATAGGGGCATCAGAAAAGTCTAATCTCTTCAATGTCCCCGAGGAAAAAGACATGTAATAAAACCTGATTCTGTACGGACCATATTAGTCCTATCATACGATCATACAGCGGGATACATGTCTACTTCCCCTAGAATTCGTGCATCATCTATCGAATCCAGTAAAGTCGAGGAAAGGCAAAGACATCACATTACACTTTATTTAGATCAAATATCTTCAATTTTCGCTAGTTTGCTGTGCTCAAGCTTTTAGTAGGGAGAAATTCAAGCAATTAATTTCTCAAATGTATTATTACAGGGATGTCAGACGTCGGCAGACTTCCTCAGTACTTTCCAGATCGGGGACGCCAGTTCCGCCATGTTCAGCACCGATATGTCGAACAATGTCCACGTCTTATATACGTCACCTACCGACGACGGTAGATTCAGGTAAACATGAAATCAGTGTTCTCAGGTGAGGGAGACTCAGTCTTTTGTCTCCCGGTCATGTGATAATGTGAAACCATTCGGATTTAAAAAACCCATGTTTTATTGCTTTAATGTAGCAAGCGGATTGGGTATAAGTTATAACAAGAATACAACCTCTCAACTCTGTATATATAGTATGACATAAATGAGATAAAAATAAAATTATAATTATAATTTTCAACAAACTATGTTCAAAACCGACTTTTCATATTTACCATCTTACGGAATTGCCACTATATAACTCTACCACATTAAGACGGCGTTCATGTAGGTATGAATGCAATGAGCCAAGTAAGGTCATCATTATTATGACGTCATAGTTGTTGAACAGATGACTGTTCCATTCCCTGACCTAGCATATACGATAAATACATTAAGTATAATTGAATGAACGGTGATATAAACAGATTACAAAAATGAAAAATGTAAGTATTAACCTACTTTTAGTTGGCATTTATAGGCAATATGAATGCCAACTTGACAAAGGCAAATTCATTGAAGTGAGCAAGCGTTCCATGTTGGATTTGCTTTGTCTAGTTACCTATGAATGGGCAGAGAAACATTTTTTCTGTTGTATGATTGTTTGTATTGGTACGTATATAGTAAATTTACAAATAAAAACAATTAATAAATGTAAAACGGTTTTCACTTCAGGACAGTTGACGTCACTTTGCAGTGTGACCCAAATTCCTTAGAGCCAAATATACAAGTGTTTGGGGAACAGGGTTTCAACTCCCTCTTATACGTAAGTAAAAACATGACTAGTGGCTATGTTGCGGTACATGTATGACACAGTACATAAATACCGTGTTAGTATTGGTCCAAATAATAATAACAAAAAATAGTCACCACGAGATATATACTTATTTAGTATATTAAGGTTTGAGGGATCTATCAGATTTGCTACAGGTTAGGTATTGTATTTATAAAACTTTGTTTGTTTTACAACAATTATGAAACAAGTTATTTCAACTTATATTAATCAGTCTTGTTGTCCCGGATGTTAGCCGCGGGGGTCTTAGTGTGGGAGGAAACCGGAGTACCCGGAGAAAACCCATGTGATCGGGCAGGTGATCCCATACCTTTTCACGTCCGATCGAGGAATCGAACCCCGGCCGTCTTAGTGAAAGGCACGTGCGCTATCCACTGCACCACCCGACACCATTATATTTATCTTTGAAGCAAGTTATAATTCATGTCTGTGTTTTATGCGGTTTATAGGTCATATGAAGTAAATTATAATGTATGTCTTGCTTTGATACAGGCTCTATGTTAAATAAAGTTTTACCCTATAAGCAAGCTGTATTTCACTTCTATATTTTATTCAGGTTATAGATTATGTTCAGTTTTGAAGCTATCCTTTCAGCTAGGTTTGCAGGAAGCCTCAACTGATGTCTATAGGTTTGGAGCAGGCTATAAATATATTTAGCTTTGAAGTTAGCTTTAGTTTCAGCTAGGTTTGTAGGAAACCTCAACTGATGTATATAGGTTTGGAGCAGGCTATAAACACATTTAGCTTTGAAGTAAGCTATAATTTCAGCTAGGTTTGTAGGAAACTTCAAATGATGTCTATAGGTTTGGAGCAGGCTATAAACACATTTAGCTTTGAAGTAAGCTATAATTTTAGCTAGGTTTGTAGGAAACTTCAACTGATGTCTATATAGGTTTGTAGGAAACCTCAACTGATGTTTATATAGGTCTGTAGGAAACCTCAACTGATGTCTCTATAGGTTTGTAGGAAACCTCAACTGATGTATATATAGGTCTGTAGGAAACCTCAACTGATGTCTATATAGGTCTGTACGAAACCTCAACTGATGTCTTTATAGGTTTGTAGGAAACCTCACCTGATGTCTATATAGGTTTGTAGGAAACCTCAACTGATGTCTATATAGGTTTATAGGAAACCTCAACTGATGTTTATATATGTCTGTAGGAAACCTCAACTGATGTCTATATAGGTTTGTAGGAAACCTCAACTGATGTCTATATAGGTATGTAGGAAACCTCAACTGATGTATATATAGGTATGTAGGAAACCTCAACTGATGTCTATATAGGTCTGTAGGAAACCTCAACTGCTGTCTATATAGGTCTGTAGGAAACCTCAACTGCTGTCTATATAGGTCTGTAGGAATCCTCAACTGATGTCTATATAGCTCTGTAGGAAACCTCAACTGATGTTTATGTAGGTATGTAGGAAACCTCAACTGGTGTCTTTATAGGTTTGTAGGAGACCTCAACTGATGTCTATATATGTATGTAGGAAACCTCAACTGGTGTCTTTATAGGTTTGTAGGAGACCTCAACTGATGTCTATATAGGACTGTAGGAAACCTCAACTGATGTATATATTGGTATGTAAGAAACCTCAAGTGATGTCTATATAGGTTTGTAGGAGACCTCAACTGATGTCTATATAGCTCTGTAGGAAACCTCAACTGACGTCTATATAGGTTTGTAAGAACCCTCAACTCCTGTCTATATAGGTCTGTAGGAACCCTCAACTGATGTCTATATAGCTCTGTAGGAAACCTCAACTGACGTCTATATAGGTTTGTAAGAACCCTCAACTCCTGTCTATATAGGTCTGTAGGAAACCGCAACTGATGTCTTTATAGGTTTGTAGGAACCCTCAACTGATGTCTATATAGCTCTGTAGGAAACCTCAACTGACGTCTATATAGGTTTGTAAGAAACCTCACCTGATGTCTATATAGGTCTGTAGGAATCCTCAACTGATGTCTATATAGGTCTGTAGGAAACCTCAACTGATGTCTATATAGGTTTGGTGGCTCTTAACCAACAATTGTAGGTTAATTAACATTCGAAGGAAGTTACAGCTTATATCTACAATGTAGGTTTGAAGCAAGCTAAAACATATTTCTTAAATTACTTCAGACAGTAAAATTGGTCCACGCCTTTGAAGCAAGTTGCACTATCTAGATTTGATGCAGTATATTTTCTCAGTGACAATTAGTATTTCTCCGTGGTCTCTTTGTGGTCGAAACGGTAGCAACGATACGGCGATATACCAAATATAAGTTACATACAGGTATCGTAAGGCCAGACAAAAATATATGTGTTTCATGTAACATGTTGGGGAAAATTAAGGCAAGTAGGTAGGTAAAAAATGTTATTTTTACAAATAATTTCATATGGTCTATATAGGAGAGTGATCTTGACTTCGACAGTGCTTCTTTGAAAATTGCCTCAAAATGTTTAGGGTAGGCACAAAATGATAGATTCTACACTTACAAGGTATATTGTATTTTATGTATTATATTTTATGTATTGTATCTTATGTATTGTATCTTATGCATTGTATTTTATGCTATCAGTTACTAAACGTCACACTTTGAAGAGCATCTGCATCATCAGATAAAATGTAAATGGTTGCACTTTTACGGAATCTTTACAAATCGGGAAAGAATGAGTCGTGCTGATATGAATTTATTCAAAATATTCAAAATTTTACACCAAATTTTGTAACCAACACGTTTTAAAAAATTTGTTAACGATTTATTTTATCATTTAATCTGTGAACGTTTTCACCACAGAAAAGAACAAAAACAATCAGAAAAGGTAAATTTCGCTTTTCAGACCTTCACTATCACATCACAATGCGCATGCCCAGGAGTCTGCGCCACCAATCCGAATCCAATAGACCCCTCTGGCAAAGTGGTAATCACAACAGAAGCTGGAATAAGTTCTGGAACTATTTTATGTATCATGTATGTATTGCTATGCAGCTTTAATGACATTTGTCGATATAGTCATTTTGAATTCCATGCAAGTTGCTAAAGAAACAAAACAGTGTCTTCAATAAGATTCATCAGTTTTTGTATATTTTTATGTCACTCGACCCGCGACGTTTCGCATATCGGTAGGGAGCGTAAACACACTGCATCAGATAGGTTACAGGTAGGTTATTATCAAAGAAGCAATACAATCAGGAAACCTCAAAACATGAACAGAGACGAGGGGGACACCATCTGAGTCATCTGTATGACCTGATACTGACATAACGGGGGAGGGGGCTAGATATACACCCTACCTGTAACCTACCGGATGCGGCGCTCCCTATCGATAGGCGAAAAGTCCCGGGTGGAGTGACATAAAACATACAGTAATTTGAAACAAAATGAATTGCGACAGTAAGTTTAGTTGCAATGGTCACCAGGAACTTGATCCATGAATCACCACATCTAAGAATTTATTGTTTGAATTGGACGGTTTATTTCTTAAACCATACTAGATAATGTAACATCTTGTACATACCATGTGGCATCATGTATACACATACTCTGACATCATGTACATGTACATACTTCGTGACACCATGCATACACCATGTAACAGCTTGAACACAACATGTAACATCATGAACACACCAGGTGATATATAGTCATGCATAATTATACACAATGTGACATCTTGAACAAACAAGGTGATATATCATACACACCCTATGACATCATGAACACACCAGGTGATATATCATACACACCATATGACATCTTGAACACACCATATGCTATATTGTACACACCATGTGACATCATGAACACACCGTGTGATTTATTGTACACACCGTGTGACATCATGAACACACCGTGTGATATATTGTACACACCGTGTGACAGCTTGAACACACCTGGTGTACACACCATGTGTCATCATGAACACACCATGTGACATCTTGAACACTCCATATGCTATATTGTACCCACCATGTGACATCATGACCACACCGTGTGACAGCGTGAACACACCGTGTGATTTATTTTACACACCGTGTGACCGCTTGAACACACCTGGGGTACACACCATGTGACCTCATGACCACACCGTGTGACAGCTTGAACACACCGTGTGACAGCTTGAACACACCTGGTGTACACGCCATGTGACATCATGCATATAACATGTGACATTAAGTCTTCAACATGATTTGTTATAAGCAGTTTACACCATTTGAAAAACAACACACCACTTGGCAGTAAGTACACATCATGTGACAGTCAGACCACATCACGTGACAGTTTATACCACGTGACAACCAGTACACATCACGTGGTAATCAGTACACTTTAAATGACATTCAGTACACGCCACATGTCAGGAAATACACACCACGTGACAGTCAATGTCCATCACCTGACAGTCAGTTTACCCCTTTTGGTTTGCTGTAGAGCACTTGTCGGTGCGGTTGTATATGTCGGTGGTGGGATGACATACATGCGGGTCAGAAAGAATGCCGCAGGAGTCGGTATGTTACCTCACAAGGAGTTTTGGGCGGCAATTCCAGGACTGATTAAGGTATGACAGTTTACACGGAAAATGTCTAAAATATGGATGTTTATTGAGAAAATGATCATGAAATGAATAAGACAGAGCGGAAACTATCTCGTCAGAATATGAATCGTTTCATAGGGCAGAGATGAATGTTTTCCCGGACCTGTTTAATAATATGGCCGTTTACTTGGAACTGTCTCGTCAGAATATTATCTTTTTTTAAGAATATTACGACAAAACACGAATGTTAACCTTGGACTACACATCTATCAGTGAAATAGTGTTTACCTTAGAGAAACAATAATCCTGCATTTCCATGGAAATATGTGACAGACCTTATAATGAAACTGCTGTCGATTAGATAATTCTATAACATTTACCATATGTTCTCCCGACCTTGATCGATAGGACTCTTTAAAAATAATAATACAATCGGCATAACTAATATAATCCGAGAGCTCCCTATATCAACCGGAGAGTCCATTATAAACCCTGGTGCTCCTTATCATCCTTGAGCTCCATATCAACCCGACACTCCTACTAACCCGATGGCTCTCTATCATACCCGAGGGCTCCCTATCAACCCTGCGAGCTCCATGTCAACCCGATGGCTCCCTGTAAACTCTGCGAGCTCCCTATCAACCTGAGGGCTCCCCTATCAACCATGCGAGCTCCCTGTCAACCCGAGGGTTCCATATATTTACCCAAGAGCCCTACCAACCCAAGGTCTCAATATCATCCCTAAATCTCCATGTCAACTCGGGAGCTCCATATAAGCCCGATGACTGTTATACGTCTCTCGCCAATTTCTATAGTATAACCTTTTTTATTGGATGCTCCACACAGTTAACAGTTACTGGTGTCGTCAGATTAATAAACAAAACTACACAAAACTAGCACTAAGTTCCTACTAATTTGCCATTTTAAAAACAGCACAGACAATCAAAAGATGAGCTTTACCGGAAGTATAACATATTTGAAGCGTTGATTCGGCCGAAGTATGACGTATTTACAGCCACATGTAGGAGGATTATCGATTTTTACTTTAACCGCTCGTATCACAAATAGGAGCAAATTTGTTCTCATAGAATTACTTTAATATTTCTACATAACCTTTTTGTTCTGTTATTCTGTAATCGAGATTTTATACTCCTGTTTGGACTGTCCATCGAAGTGCTATACGTATTTGTTTTTATTTTACAGGCAGGAGCTGTTTTCACCTATCAGAAGATACGTGGGAAAATATCTGGACAAGAGTACTCCTCAATATAAACTTTGTTTTAAACACGTGTGCAGACAGTTTGGAACTTTTCCGTCATCGAGTATTTTCTCATTTACGGAAAGTGCCGACAGTTCCCGATTGAGTTTGGACTGAGTCAAATTTACACTCACTTCTTCACGTACACAACAAGCACTTTTGAGATCTGAAGATTGTTCCGATAGCTTCAGTTCTCGTTATTAATTACTGATCTAAAAGAATAATGTTTGAGATGCCATGCCTATTTTATATCTGATGTCAATTTTCACATTGTTTTTCCGCATTTTGTCATATGACGGTAAATGATACGTAATGTATATGCTGTAAATTACTAGAGCTAACAACATTTATGTTCACGATATTGTTCCAGGTTGTTTATTATTTTGTATTTTATTGCTAAATATCTAAATTATATCATATTATTCTTGTTCACTACGACACTGTACGTATTAGGATGTGACTTATAATAAAACTGAATTAATGAAAAAAAGAGCAAAGTACATGTACCTGTAATACGAGTGTAAGTGATATCAAAAGGAACCTCTGTAAACATTGCAATCAATTTGAAGCCACAAATGAAATTGCGGAAATAAGAATTATTAAATATTTGTACTAATTTTTAATAAAAAAAAATGTTGTGAAGCCGTTTCTAAACCAGTTTTGACGGCATTGTCAGCACAAAACAAGTTGTTAAATATACTTTGTAGTCATAATTAAATAACTTTTTGCTGTTTTCTGGTTTATTAGCAACGTTTTAGGGGCCACGGTAGTTAAGTGGTAGGACGCCGGGCTCGTGACCGAAGGGTTGCGGGTTCGAGTCACGTCACGGCACTGTGTTGTATCTTTGAGCAAGATACTTTACTCCGCTTGTTCCAGTCTACTCAGCTGTAAATGAGTACGTGGTTGGGCAGTGCTATAATTGCTGAATGCTAGCTGTGAGCGCCGAAATGGCAGCACCGGCTGAGAAAATGGAGTTGAGAAAGATATTGGCTGGTTGCAAAGGCCCTATAACCACGGATAACAACTTGTGAACCGCTTTGAGGCGAACTACGAACTAGGTTGTGATAAAGCGGTATATAAGAAACTCGAATTATTATAATAATTGTTATCTTAAACACAAATAAAAACTTCTTTTTGTTGCAAATATACTAAGATAGTAAATGTGAATCACAAATGCTTTGAAATATATTCCGTTCACTGAAATTTTCGTATTGATCTATCGTAATAAACTACATATTATTGAAGTTTTCTGGTGAAATTTTCATCGACATCAGTTAAAAGACGACTCCATACAGCATGAAATGATTTAAAAACAAATGGAATTTACTTTATATATATAGTCTTTTGTCGTCTTTGCTAATTTGTTATGATCGCTGTTTACATAATCACGTAAGTATCGTGATACTGTAAATGAACTTATTTTAGCCCACTCAAATTTTCACGCATTCTCGAATTTTTACAGATAAGCGCATTGATGAATTCTATTTCAGATTTGGAGAACGGGAGATGAATACTATACATACTAAACTGAGGCACACGTGCAGTTCTCTTAAATATCATTTTTACAGAGTGAACCTTGTCGAAAGTCCAGTTTGCAACTGTGGAAATCTATTTGAGAATGCCTTTTACTTTTTCTTTGAGTGTCAACTTTTTACCAATGAAAGACGTGTTATGTTTCAAATTTGAATGCCTGAGATAAAGAGTCAAATTTAGAGCTTCTTTTGTGTGGCAGTTCAGATCCTTCAGTGGACCTTAATTCTTACGTTTTTAGACATGTGCATCATTTCATCAAATCCAGCAATATATTTTGAACGGTGTTTTTATGTTGTGTCTGTGTGAATATTACTAAATATACTTCATGTTTATACCTATTATCATTGTTATCATGTAATTGTAAATGTTTGACGGGAGAAGGCTGTGATAAGTTGTAATAATTTGTATTCAATCCCTTGTTAAAGAAATGGCAATGAAATATGTTTAAAGTAAAAATAAAGTAAAAATAAATTGGCACATTCACAAAATACAGAAAGTCTAATAGACGCAGTCATAATTTAGCGCAAAATTAAAACGCGAAGAGCGCTAAGATAAGACTACCGCTAAAATGTGTACACTTACAGTATTAAAGACATCTGAAATGGCGGTCATCACTTTGCACGAAAATATAAGCAATAATAAATCTACAGTTTTTATGACCCCATCAAGCATTGTCAAACACAATAAGGAAAACGATTTGTGTTGATATTTTCATCAATTTTGCATGAATAAACATTTGTAAAATTTGATTTAGAATAAAAAATTAAATCTTTATTTTTGCCTTGACTTGTTTTTAGTAGATTGGTAGCATTGCAATAGTTAAAAAACCAAACGATTTTAGTATTGAACGTAAAGTTTATGGATTCGATGAAAGTTTGAAGGAGTCTTCAAGGCATTATGTTAAATAATAACTTGATTTATTTTAAAACAATTATGAAACAAGTTATTTAAACTTAAATTTATCACTCTTGCTGACCCGGATGCTATCGCAATGAGGTTCTTAATTAATTTTAATGTGACAGGAAACCGGAGTACCTGGAAAAAACCGATGTAGGCATGCAGGTCAACCCGGCACCTTTGCACGTCCGATCGGGAAATCGAACCTCGGTCGTCTTGGTGAAAGGCGAGTGCGATATCCACTGCACAACCCGACCACCCATTACGTTTATACAGGTACAAAATGAAAGGCCTACAGGTACAATTGTACATGTATACCAAGAGAGGACCGAGTAAGATATATACCAAATGATTAAAGTGTTGCAATGGACGGACATTGTAGTTCTCTAATTTATCACATTTGTAGAGATATATTGCTAGTCTAGCTTGTGTTTACCGACATTAACGTGAATACTGTCTTTCACTCCTTCTTTGAATGCAAACATTTCACGACGTATCCTGTTGTAGAATTAGAATACTTTAAAATTGAGTTCGATTTTGAAATAACGTTTTGAGATACGTGCAACAATACCCTATAACCAGCAAGACAGTCTGGATTTCAAATTAAATTAAATTTCACTGTGTTGCTTTTTTAATATTATTATGTAATTTTAAATATATGATTGGAGAAGTATGTGAAAGAGTTGCAATACCTTGTGCCTTACTCATCGCTTAACGTTTGGCAATGAACATATTTAGTCTAAGATAACTGTGTAGTTCATTCATTGCACTCAAGGAAGATGAACGGAGTAAATAACTACACCGGGCAATCCAGTCTAATAATCATAGAACGATACTAAGTTAAGCGAAACAAAATGGTACGAAGACACTCAATCCATTCCTGGATCCAACCATATAAACCTCCTATCGCAATCAAGGTTTTAGATACATCCGGCTAACAACGTTCCTTTGTACCTGCTGTGTAATTTTAAGATGTTTTTATAAGCACAATAGAAAAAACCTTAATCCGTTTCATTGACGAACCGAACACTCGTTTTCTGTAGAACAGCGAAACATAGTCGAATTACGCGGGAATCGCAAGTGTAGTGCTTGGCGTAATTCGTGGATGCAGTCATTATTTATGACGTCATACGTTTTGATGAAAACGTCACATCTCTGTTTACACATGGTTTCCACGCCGATACCACAGGTAAGGTTCTCGTAAACAATGCTGGTAAATACTTTCGTATTGAGATGCATGTATGTGTTTAAGACGAGAAGATATGTTATTCTTTTTGGTCAAATGATATTCAACCGAAAATGATGTATAAATAATGCTGACTTCCGGTAATGTGAATGGTTTATTTGTCCAGTTGTATCTAGTTTACCAGTTGCAAAAAATATGACGCCTCCAATTCCATCTTATTTTAATGTTAGTAACCGTTTGAAAATATTCTTACAGATCAGATGTTAATAAAATATTTTCCAGTGCAATGATTGTGAGAAAGTGGGAAACCTGTCATGAGAATCTCCCATCTGCTTATGTTATTGCTTGCTGAATTTGTTCGGGGACGTGAAGAAGGGGCTGGACCTGTCCCCTGTTTTCCCAAATGTGCCTTATCTGAGGAAGGTCGACGTCTGTGTGAGACACTTTTGACATTGAAACCATGCGTCGATCGCATCAAACAACAGTGAGTATCGAGCTATACACGTCTAAAGCTATTTTCGTGGGTCAAACAATGACTCGAACTTAACTTTCTCAGAATTCCTCTGACTCTGGTATCAGCGTGTTTGTCACAGAAAACTGTTGTTAAATCTGAATTTTGTTTGAATGATAGTGAATTTTCAGGGTTAATCGAGGTTGGACAAGTACAATGTATACGTTCAGCTGGTTAGAGCATATTTTTAGAGTTCGGAGGTTCCAGATTCGAATCCGATGGTCTGGCCGCCGAAAATTCCATTCATCTGACATTTACCGCTTACCAACATGCACGCGGAATGTGGTATTAGGGTCTCGTGTGCGATTGTCCTTTTGAAAGGGTGTAGTAAAACTGCAGGTTTAATTAAGTTGCAGTGTCCGAGTAGAGTTTGAATCTTCGGATTTTTCCGTACCTGTAATTTGGACTTCCGTAAGTCAATGTTAATTTATGCCAAACTTACAGTAATCATTATATATAAGGTGACAGTACACAGATCGAATCACCGAACCATCAATTTATTTATTAATTAAAAATTCGGAGGATGAATTATATTCATTTATAGTTCTACAAATGAAATTTGCACCCGGGTTCACTTGAGATACTTAGAACGCTCTAAAGTCACCAATCAGCGTTTCCGGTTTTTGCGAATGTCAGGACCTAAATCGGATCAAGGCTTGAATTTTGCAGTATCTTACAATTCAAATGCACTTTTTTGGCATATTAACATATTATGATGACATTTGGAATTCATATGAAAACAAGTATTTCTATAGGGCGAATTAATTCCTATAGTCCAACACAGAATGCATAGTCGTCGCCATTGTTTAAAAACGTAACGTTAAACAAAACACTGACTTTTGAGTTTAAATTCATTTTCTTGTGCTATTTGAACTAAGGAAAACAATTATCCGTAGATAATTATCGGTAAAAATTGTACAAGGCTATATATTCTAAGGCTACATCATTGTTTTAACTGATCTGTTGACACATTAACTTTATTGATTTAAAAGTATTTTTGCAAAAAGTGATCCGATCTGGGTCCTTTCTTCTTCTTCTTCTTCTTCTTCTTCTTCTTCTTCTTCTTCTCGTTATGGAGTTGACTCATCAGATGAGTCTCACTTCCCCAAGGCTCTCCGGCGCTTATTGGCCATACAGCTTAAAAAATTGCTATTTACATCTGTCTGTATGTTCATCTAAAATCTGGTATTTACAGTTAAAATCCGGAGTCCTGTCTAGTCCCTGGGGATGAGTCCGGCCACATCAATGGTCTGTAAGTGGTGCCGGAAACTGTCTACTGTTTGTAATCCTCTTATATTTGAGGGTATTGCGTTCCACATCTTGATCGTAGCAGTGACAAATGAATGTTTTGCCTGATGTTGTTGGCTTGGGAACTCCTACTCCTTAGTCGTTTAAAGACTTTTTCGATGAGTGGGAAAACCTTAATAAGGATCAAACCGTTTAACTTATCGATTTACAGTTAAGATATGAATGGGTTTGTACCGAAGCTTGTGATTTCATTACATTCAAGGAATCCCAGATAGGGATATAATTGTGTTCCGCTTCTTATACGTTTCCATGTGACGCTGTTGTAGGGGATCGGATGGAACAACCATGTGTAGCTGCCAGTGGACAAACGTGTTGAGCCACCCCGGATACAGTCACCTGCTAGATAATTCAGAGTGTCTCCAGTACTCTCTTAGCACGTGTGGTAAAACTATGTTTACAAGTCAATGGCAGTAACAATGCAATGATGACTTATAAAGTCGGAGTTGAATTATTATTTTATACTGTCAATGAATATATTTTCAACATCCCAAATTATCTCACATGTCAATTCATACAGTGATAATGAATCGTTAAACAATCTTATTTCACGGTTTCTCATACATCTTGTATACCATACGTTACTTTACTCAGCATTCTGTAACGTCTAATCAGTGTTACTTCCCCTCGATACCAATATCTGTCGTTATCATATTACTTACATTTGTACAAGGAATGGTGATGTTTTAATTACTGAATTTGATTTGTAGTTGTTAGAGATGAAGCATTTCTCTTCAATTGTTTGGTGTGTCCATGCGTGTCTGTCAAAATTTGAAATTAATTTATTCTCGCAGAAACCAACACACGCCAATCCATAGACACGACAGGAAGTGAATACCCCATTAGCGAGTTTCTGCCGGAAATACAAAAGGAGAATTCTAGGATCGAAAAAATAACGGACGAGTCAAAGAAACGGGACGCCAAAATTAAGCTGTTAAATGCCGTACATGACATCATAGAACTGATCAGACAGCTCGAAGCAAGCAAAAAAGGTTTCTTGTTTATCTATTTTAACAATTTTTAAGTGACACATGATTATTTTGTTAGGGTTGGGGTTAGGGTTAGGGTTATATGTGCGTTCGCTGGTAGTCGAACCAATGACCACAAACCTTCTCGTCGGACGCAATGTATCACGCTCATTCTGTTATATACATACATGTATAAAAATCGACCACAGTTTACATCAATTATAATTTTATGTTCACCTTTAATTTTGACCCGAAATAGAGGTAGAAGTAATTTAAGCAATAAGATACATTATCTATGTTTCATGGTATGATTTTATCATTAAACTCAAGAAAACAAATTATATCTCAAATATGACCTTTCCTCTAGTAAGCGCCAGGGCCCACTTGTATAAAACAGCTCAAAGTTAAGGAGAATCTCAAGCAATGTATTGTCTATGGGAAATCTTAGCCTTGAGGAAATCTCAAGAGTTGAGAAGTTTTTTACAAGTGGGCCCTGGGAAGACAACCCTTCCGAAACAACTCTAACGAGATGTTGCTACATGTAGTTCCACGCTTATATTTTTATATTTTTTTTTTTATTATTTTTTTTTTGTTATAATACTAAATGACTATCGTCCCCTGAATAAATGTGGGCCGGATATTAAAATTAATCAAATATGTTACAGATTTAAAATCTAAATGGAACTTATTTTGAGAGCTAATTTAAAATAGAAATCGACTCTCCTGGTCCATTGAAGAGAACATCTTTATAGAAATTGGGAAAAAGGAAGTGATTTTCAGACACTAGTATAATTGCGATCATTGTCTTTTTTTTCCTTTATCAAAAATTCTACTGAAAGGAAAACTTTCTGACAGTACAGGACAACCTGGATCCACTAATTTGAGTTTGAATCTAGACAAGATTTTATCAGGTACGTCACTGCACCCAGGTACACCCGACACAAGAAAATAAATAAACAAATAATTAAATAAACAGACGGTTATTTTCTCTTTAGCAGGAAGCGTATTCATATAGTAAAATAATACTCACAATAATTTTCCGTGTTTTTGCTCAGTGCCTAGATCGAATGAAAAAGTATTGCTAAAATCTTCAAATTATTACAATTTGAAAAGAAAAGTTGAGACTGTGGTGTATTTTAAAGAAAATACAGTAATGATTTAATAAGCAAGATTATTTTGTCATATTTCAAAAATCTCTTTACGGCAATTATAAAATTTATTATGACAGAAAATTAAGACAAGTTTCTTTCATCGTGCAATGCGTTATGTAAATATCATTACAAATAACTTCATAAAAAGTTTTAAAAAAAATGTGAAAAAAACAATTCATGAAATACTGATAGACGTAGGATAACCGTTTGACATTTGCCTGTATTTTAACGCACACCGAAGACAACGCTTACCGGCTTTATTTTTGTCTGATTACAGGAGAATGGAGAACGCTTCCGGTAACTACCAAAAAGGTATGCAACATTATACAGTATCAGGGATTTGCGTAAATGACATATGTTTTTCTGTAAAAAATGTTGATTTAACTATTCCCTGTCTTTCTACGCGTTGTGTCAGATACCAAGTTTGGCAAATATAACAAATCAATATTAGATGGTACACATTTTCTAACATCCTCATAACGTCCATTGTCACTTGCGTAAAAATTGTTAGGCTACAAAACCACTCACAGTAGTAGGAGTTATCGCCCTTCGCATGTCATATTACATACAGCCGAATTTAACCAATTTGATTTTTACAGAGAGGAATCTTATCACACGATTGCTCAATTTCTTAAAAATATGTTAGTGTAGACGCTGACTTACTTAAACGGTAATGATGATGTCAGAGTTTGTTTACACAGCCTTCGACGAAGATGCATCCCCTGAAGGACGACAAGAGGTTCCACATCGCTGCGTTTTCAGTTCTAGTTCTGTTACTCCTGGTCGTCACTGTATTATGTTTGGTAGCAAAGGTATCGTATCATTCGAGGCTTCTATGCATTATGGGGTTAATCTGCAGAACCTTATATCAATTCAGTGTTTTACCAAACGTACATTGAGTACATGTATCTAGACGTATACAAGTTGTACGTATTGCATAATAATTCACCAATATCTGCACAATGGCGGAGAACATAATTTGGAATTAATCTTATTACATACAGAACAATCACACAAAGTAATGAAATACTCAAATGGGGGAAAAACTTAGAGCTACTTCGAGGAAACTTTTAGCAGACTCTTACTAAGCATAATTAGACAAATAAGCCTCAAATAAGTCATCGGCGAGATACATGTGTCAGTCTGTACTATGTTTATAACCGATTTGGTTTCATACACTAATTTATGTTATAATATGAATTTCAATCCTTATACTTAAAACAACAAGGAAATTGTATTAAATATATTTTATCTTTCTTAACGGGTTTCTTCTGGTTCATTAACATTGTTTAACCCTTTCACCACTATAGACCAAAATGGACTCACCCACATCAATAAATGGAAGAGTTACTAAAGTTACATAGGGGTGAAAGGGTTAAGAAACTGTTTCATCAGATGGTGGAACACCCGCTTTTGCGGGAACATTCGGGTTGTGTTTGCTTTAGTCACCATCTTGTTATGGCGGGAAGGGTGGCAGGGTGGCGCAGTAGGTGGCGCTCTTGCCTTTCACAAAAATAGCCGTTGGCAACGGGAATGTGCCTTTGTTTTTACTAGAATTAACGAACAGAAATCTATTTTTCTATATTATAGATCAAGACTGACCGGACCGGGGTGAATCTGGATATAAAGGGCGATCTTGACCTCGACTATCGCAGTGCGCCTCGTACGTCCTTTGGGTATGCATATAATGTTGACGACATCCTCGCGCTAGACTTGTTGATTACTTCACCAAAAAATGTGTTATATTGCAGGATGTTTCCCTTAATTCAAGCAATTAACAGGCAACGAGTCTGGAGATTGTCGCGCGAGGCTTACATCAATCTCATGAATATGCGATAAAAGACAGTATAGCTGAGAAAAAGAAGGAAACAAAGTTCATGTGTAGGGAAAGAGAAAAAACCTTTATGGAAAGAGGAGGTTTGTGAAAGAGAAATTATCCTTCTTTCGGTACCAAACAATTTTAATAAAAGTAATTTTTCGACATCGAGAGCTTTTCATCCTTCCCACATATTCATGTATATACCATCATTGGGGTGTCATTTTAAACTAGAATTGACCTTAATCCATAAAAAAGTCTTAAATTACCCACTACATACCGCATCAGTGCAAACATACCAACAGTAACACGTCCTTTTCTCCCATTGCTAAAGCTGTGTGCCACATGTCAAAGAAAGTGAAATACTTTTTACGCTCGTAACGTCAGTGTTCAATTGACCAGCTTTGAAGTCGGGTGTCGCTCCTCTGCTTTATTCAAAAGACATGTTTCCATCTAGCAATTGGTCAGTGTGTTTACACAAATAGGTAACTACGTTCCTTTGACTTTGTTATGACATAATCCAGGGGTGCAGAGAACGTTAAGTTAACCATGGCATTTCGGATTGTCATATCCTTCCTTTTTTTTTGTATTTCTTCATTTCCGGTTGTCTGATCATGCTGATTCAAATATTAGTGTGTGTTGTTCTTGTATGGTCAGATTGTAGCGTAATTACTGTCCTCTGTTCTTAACTCACATGGAGAAACATTAATGAAAAATTAAGAGACCATTCTGGGTAGAGGGCTTCCACACTCTGTTGCATTAATAATTCTAGTTTGGAATACACTAACTTTTTTTCTTCTGATCACCTATGTTTTGTTGGACCTAACAACCCAACCCCAATCCCAAATAAATATGTGTCAACGTTGCGTTGAATGTGACGTAGATATGACTTTCCCTCCTACAGCACATTGTTAGAAAAACTTCGTCTTCGCTCCAAGGAAAAAGCCACGGAGAATGCGAAAAGAGGACAGTCTACCGGAAGCGCGAAGTATCAATCTATGGTAAGTTGTATCCGCTTAATTCCACCGTTGTAAAATTTGGCAATTTTGACATATTAGGTCACCTGAGACAAAGTCTCAAGTGACCTATTGCGATCGCCGTTCGAATTATATGGTCCCCAGCCCCCATGTAGCAGTATACAGTAGAAATGGCCCGACTCTGATAAACAAGGCACATGTCGAGGAAATGTAAACACAGCGGATTTACCCTACACAACACATGTATATATATTTGTAAACTGCATTACATTTACAAAACATAAAAAGTACTGAGAAGTGTATAAACCTCTTTTTTCTATGTATGTCACTTGTGTGAAAACCATGGTTACCACATCAAAAATTACCAAAAAATGCCAAAAATTGCTATTTTTGACCCAAAATTTGACCCCCGCAACAAGTAACTTTTTTCCTAAGCCTGTCTGAAATTAAAGATTACCTACCTGGTTGCAGAATTATCTGGGTCCCAGTAAAGTTGTAAATCTTGATTTTTTGCAATTTTGCGTCGTTTGCTGTTGTCAAAATTGTACCTCCTGTAAAGCTAGCTTTTCATATGTAGGCACCCTTTCGGATTATGGCCAAAATTTTATTCTCGAACCAAAAAAGTCTTCTTTTTGTTTTTACAAATGTGAAGCTCACATAGCCCACTTTATCATGCTTATACAAATTTTAGTACAGTTTTATTTTTATATCTTTTTTACATATCATTAGACAGGGGTTAGCCATTTAACAAAAATATCACTCCTGGCCACAACCCTCTACTGTAGACTGCTACCCAAGGGGCCTGAGGGGCGGGGCCAAAAAGGGTCGAATTAACTGAAATTTCAAAATCTTCTTCTCAAGACCCAGATATGGTAGAATCCAATACTCTTCATAGATGGAAGGGTTTTAAGTCACTTTATTAAAATTGTGAATTTCATGACCCTAGGGTCTCACGTTTCACCCTGGGGAAGGGATTAACTTTACTATAGTTTATATAGGGAAATCACATTTTGGACCAACATTTGTTTAATTTCCATTGGAAGTAATTCAATTTGGGTTAGCATTATCGGTATTGGATAGCAGTTTGATGGTATGCACATATCAGCCCTGACTGACCCCCAGATTTTATTGATTTTTACCCCCATAATTTATTATGATTTATTATGGCAAATGATACTTTGAATATTACATGTTGATAACTTGATTGGAATTAAAACCCTTAGTTGACAATTTGATACTTTGAACATTTTGAGCCAGCCTCAAGGGCTGTAGGGTGGGGCCCAAAGGAGTCAGTGTGCTAAAATTTCTTCAATTTCCTTGTTTAGAATCAGAGGTGCTAGTTTCAAATACTTTTCAGTCTTAAAACTGTATGCTAGCTATTGAATAAGGTGGGGGTTTTTTTCGGCACTTTGAATAATATTACTGTTCATGTTTTAAAAACAAAAATTAACTCTCAGTATAAATTTATCAGAACTCAGGTGGCCGTTAATGGCCATGGGCCTCTTGTTAAAAAAGATATTTGCGGATATTTTGTGACGTTACATGACGTTATTTTATTGTTTCAAACGACATGCATTAAATGGCGAAATGATGAATTATGTTTGGTCGTCTACCATAACCTGGACACAATTACAACACAGCTTAATTTGATTGATTATTTATTTATCTTTTTATGAATGATTCGTATCTATATAAATAAAGGAGAACAATCGTTTTATATATCTGAATTGAGGAACTTCTTTTTTTACCGTCTTTTGAACCGACCAGGAAAATTTGGTCCGGATAATGCAACTAAGCGAATTAGTTGATAATCTTATCGACTATTGTAAGTGATAGATCATGACGCGTACAATAGGATCCAAGATGGAGGATCATGCGAATGAACAAGAGATGGCTATTTTTCTATTTAAGTATGCTTGAAGGTTAAGCTATCGACTGAATTACATTTGTATTCATGTTATGTTTTTTAGATGGTGAAGCCTCCTATGGCGGTATTATTGACTGACATTACATTTAAATTCGTGCTGTTTTGATGGCGAGGCCTCCTATTCCGGTATTATTGACTGACATTACATTTAAATTCATGCTATTTAGATGGTGAAGCCTCATGTGGCGGTATTATTGAGTGACATTACATTTAAATTCGTGCTTTTTAGATGGCGAGGCCTCCTACTGCGGTATTATTGACTGACATTACATTTAAATTCATGTTGTTTAGATGGCGAGGCCCCCTATTGCGGTATTATTGACTGACATTACATTTAAATTCATGCTGTTTAGATGGCGGTTTTGATGGCGAGGCCTCCTATTCCGGTATTATTGACTGACATTACATTTAAAGTCATGCTATTTAGATGGCGAGGCCTGCTATTGCGGTATTATTGACTGACATTACATTTGAATTCATGTTTATTTAGATGGCGAGGCCTCCTATTGCGGTATTATTGACTGACATTACATTTGAATTCATGTTTACTTAGATGGCGAGGCCTCCTATTGCGGTATAATTGACTGACATTACATTTAAATTCATGTTATTTAGATGGCGAGGCCTCCTACTGCGGTATTATTGACTGACATTTCATTTAAATTCATGCTGTTTAGATGGCGAGGCCCCCTACTGCGGTATTATTGACTGACATTACATTTAAAGTCATGCTATTTAGATGGCGAGGCCTGCTATTGCGGTATTATTGACTGACATTACATTTAAAGTCATGCTATTTAGATGGCGAGGCCTGCTATTGCGGTATTATTGACTGACATTACATTTGAATTCATGTTTACTTAGATGGCGAGGCCTCCTATTGCGGTATTATTGACTGACATTACATTTGAATTCATGTTTATTTAGATGGCGAGGCCTCCTATTGCGGTATAATTGACTGACATTACATTTAAATTCATGTTGTTTAGATGTCGAGGCCCCCTATTGCGGTATTATTGACTGACATTACATTTATATTCATGTTATTCATGAATATGGCGATACCGTCGACTGAAAATACATTTTTATTCGTGCTATTTATGTTATTTAGATGGAGAAGCCTCCTATGGCGGTACCATAGCCCCCTACTGCGGTATTATTGACTGACATTACATTTAAAGTCATGCTATTTAGATGGCGAGGCCTGCTATTGCGGTATTATTGACTGACATTACATTTGAATTCATGTTTATTTAGATGGCGAGGCCTCCTATTGCGGTATAATTGACTGACATTACATTTAAATTCATGTTTTTTAGATGGCGAGGCCCCCTATTGCGGTATTATTGACTGACATTACATTTGAATTCATGTTTACTTAGATGGCGAGGCCTCCTATTGCGGTATAATTGACTGACATTACATTTAAATTCATGTTATTTAGATGGCGAGGCCTCCTACTGCGGGATTATTGACTGACATTACATTTAAATTCATGTTGTTTAGATGGCGAGTCCCCCTATTGCGGTATTATTGACTGACATTACATTTATATTCATGTTATTCACGTGCTTTTTAGATGGCGAGGCCTCCTACTGCGGTATTATCGACTGACATTACATTTAAATTCATGCTATTTTGATGGCGAGGCCTCCTATTGCGGTATTATTGACTGACATTACATTTGAATTCATGTTTACTTAGATGGCGAGGCCTCCTATTGCGGTATAATTGACTGACATTACATTTAAATTCATGTTTTTTAGATGGCGAGGCCCCCTATTGCGGTATTATTGACTGACATTACATTTAAAGTCATGCTATTTAGATGGCGAGGCCTGCTATTGCGGTATTATTGACTGACATTACATTTATATTCATGTTATTCACGTGCTTTTTAGATGGCGAGGCCTCCTACTGCGGTATCATTGACTGACATTACATTTAAATTCATGTTGTTTAGATGGCGAGTCCCCCTATTGCGGTATTATTGACTGACATTACATTTATATTCATGTTATTCATGAATATGGCGATACCGTCGACTGAAAATACATTTTTATTCGTGCTATTTATGTTATTTAGATGGAGAAGCCTCCTATGGCGGTACCATAGCCCCCTACTGCGGTATTATTGACTGACATTACATTTAAATTCATGCTATTAAGATGGTGAAGCAACCTACTTCGGTATTATTGAGTGACATTACATTTAAATTCATGCTATATAGAACGTGAAGCCTCATGTGGCGGTCTTTTTGACTGACATTACATTTAAATTCATGTTTATTTAGATGGTGAAGCCTCCTACTGCGGTATTATTGACTGACATTACATTTATATTCATGTTATTCATGAATATGGCGATACCGTCGACTGAAAATACATTTTTATTCGTGCTATTTATGTTATTTAGATGGCGAAACCTACTATGGCGGTACCATAGACTGAAATTACATTTTTATTCGTGCTATTTATGTTATTTAGATGGAGAAGCCTCCTATGGCGGTACCATAGAATGAAATTACATTTTTATTCGTGTTATCTATGTTATTTAGATGGAGAAGCCTCCTATGGCGGTACCATAGACTGAAATTTCATTTTTATTCGTGCTATTTATGTTATTTAGATGGGGAAGCCTCCTATGGCGGTACCATAGAATGAAATTACATTTTTATTCCTGTTATCTATGTTATTTAGATGGAGAAGCCTCCTATGGCGGTGCCATAGAATGAAATTACATTTTTATTCGTGTTATCTATGTTAATTAGATGGAGAAGCCTCCTATGGCGGTACCAAAGACTGAAATTACATTTTTATTCGTGCTATTTATGTTATTTAGATAGAGAAGCCTCCTATGGCGGTACCATAGAATGAAAGTACATTTTTATTCGTGTTATCTATGTTATTTAGATGGAGAAGCCTCCTATGGCGGTGCCATAGAATGAAATTACATTTTTATTCGTGTTATCTATGTTAATTAGATGGAGAAGCCTCCTATGGCGGTACCATAGCATGAAATTACATTTTTATTCGTGTTATCTATGTTATTTAGATGGAGAAGCCTCCTATGGCGGTGCCATAGAATGAAATTACATTTTTATTCGTGTTATCTATGTTATTTAGATGGAGAAGCCTCCTATGGCGGTACCTTAGACTGAAATTACATTTTTATTCGTGCTATTTATGTTATTTAGATGACGAAGCCTCCTATGGCGGTACCATAGACTGAAATTACAACTTTATTCGTGCTATTTAGATTATTTAGATGGAGAAGCCTCCTATGGCGGTACCATAGACTGAAATTACATTTTTATTCGTGCTATTTATGTTATTTAGATGACGAAGCCTCCTATGACGGTACCATCGAAAGGTTCTGTTGGAAGAAGAAACTCTAATACGAGTTTGAATAGTGTTGCGGGCCAAAGGTCCGATAGTTGTACAATGATTTCTGGACTGACGCATGGAAACACGAGTGGAAGTGACGTAGAAATAGACAATGAGTTCCGGATGTTCAGAACAAATTTCAAAAAAGATTTCAAATCTTTATTGAACGTTGATAAAGATTAACAAGAAAGTCATTAGAAAAATTATCATAAGTCATTTATTTATTTTGTTTTTTTTGAAATTTACTAGAATAGCATAGCAATATATATATGTTGTTTGACTTCAAAACTATCTTTTTTATCTTGCATTATTAAAATTGTACAAAATTTGTGTTTTAAGTTAAGTTTATCTGCCGATTCAGGATCTGTATGATCCTCTACACCAGATTCAATTATGTTTAAAAAATCAAACATGTACACCTATATGAAAGTTCGGCTAAAGACATCACATTTATTTGAACAAAATATGTAAGCTCTGTAAATATATTTTCACTTCTTAATCAATCCAGTATTTTTCGAGTCTGTTTCTAAATGTATATATGTAGGATCTTACACGAGTTTCCATTTCTTATGAGATTTATGAAACGAGTCGAAGAAGTTTTCAATTAGCGAGCCTCTGGCGAGCTAAAATGAAAAATTCGTGACGAATTTCATAACTTTTATATGAAATGAAAACGAGTGTAAGATCTTTTTTATCACATAATCAAGATTTATGGTATTAATTAGTGTTCATTAAACCTTAATATATAAAAAGCCGCCATTTTGACTCCAGTGCGTAAGTAAAAACTTTGTCTATATCGCAATTTGTTTTTATATTTGAACAGTAAAATTGTTATTCCAACAAAAACATAATTTTTTTATCTTATTATTCTATTAGATGAACAGTAAATGCATTATTAACCTTCTTCAGTGATTTCTGGTTCAGATTGTTGTCATACCTTCTAACTTATATTTAATTTCTTATTTTCCTTTTTGCAATAATGCATATAGCATTTCGTTCTTCCCATGCGCTGTACAACAGGTATTTTGATTGGTGAACATGCGCTGTACAACAGGCATTTTGATTGTTGGACATGCGCCGTACAACAGGTATTTGATTGGTGGACATGCGCTGTACAACAGGTATTTTGATTGGTGAACATGCGCTGTACAACAGGTATTTTGATTGTTGGACATGCGCCGTACAACAGGTATTTGATTGGTGGACATGCGCTGTACAACAGGTATTTTGATTGGTTGACATGCGCTGTACAACAGGAATTTCATTGGTGGACATGCGCTGTACAACAGGTATTTTGATTGGTGAACATGCGCTGTGCAACAGGTATTTTGATTAGTAGACATGCGCTGTACAACACGTATTTTGATTGGTGCACATGCGCTGTACAACACGTATTTTGATTGGTGACATGCGCTGTTCAACAGGAATTTCATTGGTTGACATGCGCTGTACAACCGGAATTTCATTGGTGGACATGCGCCGTACAACAGGTATTTTGATTGGTGGACATGCGCTGTAAAACAGGTATTTTGATTAGTAGACATGCGCTGTACAACAGGTATTTTGATTTGTTGACATGCTCTGTACAACAGATATTTTGGTTGGTGAATATGCGCTGTACAACAGGTAATTTGATTGGTCGACATGGGTTGTACAACAGGTAATTTGATTGGTGGACATGTGCTGTACAACAGGTATTTTGATTGGTAAACATGCGCTATACAACAGGTATTTTGATTGGTAGACATGCGCTGTACAACAGGTATTTTGATTGGTGGACATTTGCTGTACAACAGGTATTTTGATTGGTGGACATGTGCTGTACAACAGGTAATTTGAATGGTGGACATGCGCTGTACAACAGGTATTTTGATTGGTGGACATGCGCTGTACAACAGGTATTTTGATTGGTGTACATGTTTTGTACCTTTGAAGGAAGTTTGATCTTTTCTTTATTTAAGGAAATATTCCATTGTCAATTTTTAGTTCGTTTATACATGTAAGCTCCTTTTTATCACATATTCAAGACTTGTGGTATTAATTAGTGTTCATTAAATCTTCATTAACACGTTACATTATGTGATAAATTGGTGTAGCTGATTTCACATCCTCAGGAAGAGTGATCCATACTTTTACTACAAGTTCTTCCTTAAAGGTGTTTGTAATCCCCAAGGTACCAGGTGTTTGTAATCCCCAAGGTACCAGGTGTTTGTAATCCCCAAGGTACCAGGTGTTTGTAATCCCCAAGGTACCAGGTATTTGTAATCCCCAACGTACAAGGTGTTTGTAATCCCCAAGGTACAAGGTGTTTGTAATCCCCAAGGTACAAGGTGTTTGTAATCCCCAACGTACCAGGTGTTTGTTATCCCCAAGGTACAAAGTGTTTGTAATCCCCAAGGTACCAGGTGTTTGTAATCCCCAAGGTACAAGGTGTTTGTAATCCCCAAGGTACCAGGTGTTTGTAATCCCCAAGGTACCAGGTGTTTGTAATCCCCAAGGTACCAGGTGTTTGTAATCCCCAAGGTACCAGGTGTTTGTAATCCCCAAGGTACCAGGTGTTTGTAATCCCCAAGGTACCAGGTGTTTGTAATCCCCAAGGTACCAGGTGTTTGTAATCCCCAAGGTACCAGGTGTTTGTAATCCCCAAGGTACCAGGTGTTTGTAATCCCCAAGGTACCAGGTGTTTGTAATCCCCAAGGTACCAGGTGTTTGTAATCCCCAAGGTACCAGGTGTTTGTAATCCCCAAGGTACCAGGTGTTTGTAATCCCCAAGGTACCAGGTGTTTGTAATCCCCAAGGTACCAGGTGTTTGTAATCCCCAAGGTACCAGGTGTTTGTAATCCCCAAGGTACCAGGTGTTTGTAATCCCCAAGGTACCAGGTGTTTGTAATCCCCAAGGTACCAGGTGTTTGTAATCCCCAAGGTACCAGGTGTTTGTAATCCCCAAGGTACCAGGTGTTTGTAATCCCCAAGGTACCAGGTGTTTGTAATCCCCAAGGTACCAGGTGTTTCGGAAAAGTCCTGTCACAATCTAAGAAAAACTGACGCTTTTCGTTCATAAACACCACTTTTTATCTTGTATACTTCTGTAACATCACCTCTGGCATGTCTCTAGTAAGTAAATCTAGTCTTTTAAGCAGCTCCGGAAATGACAGATCTCTATTTTTGTTTTTAAATTAATGCCTTCTGTTAATGGTATATATTCACTCAAAAAAATGTAGGTGTATGGTGCAGTATACAGTAGAAATGGCCCGACTCTGATAAACAAGGCACATGTCGAGGAAATGTAAACACAGCGGATTTACCCTACACAACACATGCATACATGTATATTTATTTGTAAATTGCATTACATTTACAATACATATAAAGTACTGAGAAGTGTATAAACCTCTTTTTTCTATGTATGTCACTTGTTTGAAAACCATGGTTACCACATCAAAAATTACCAAAAAAATGCCAAAAATTGCTATTTTTGACCCAAAATTTGACCCCCGCAACTAGTATTTTTTTTCTTAAGTTCTGTCTGAAATTAAAGATTACCTGATTGGTTGCAGAATTATCTGGGTCCCAGTAAAGTTGTCAAACTTGATTTTTTGCAATTTTGCGTGCTTTTCATGTGTCGGCATACTTTCGGATTATGGCCAAAATTTTGATCTCGAACATTTTTTTTTCTTCTATTTTAACAAATGTGAAGCTCAGATAGCCCACTTCATCATGCTTATACCAATTTTAGTACAGTTTTATTTTTATATTTTTTTTACATATCATAAATATCACCCATGGCCACAACCCTCTACTGTATACTGCTACCCATCATCAATTAGGGCCCGTATTCATGAAACCGTTCTCATGCTCAAGCATAGATTTTGTGCTCAAGGGTACTTTCATGTAACTCGCTTAAATCATGTCAAACGATTACAAAGTCAAATGTTAACATTCGAAATAGTGTTTGGATTTAAGTCTGTTCAAATTGTGCATTGACAAAATAAGATTTGCTTATTGACATAAAATTAGATCAAGAAATAAGGCTTGAGCACAAAACCCATACTTGACTTTAGCATGAGGAGGGTTTCATGAATTCGGGTCCAGACCTCTCATAATTACAAAACAATTGCAGAAATCATGCCATAAAGAAAAAAATCACAACCAAGACATTGCAAATAATATTTGACATCAAGTCTTTCCAGAATTGGACTTTAATCTTAGTTTTAACATGATAATGAATTTAGTGCTACAATTCCTTAGCCTCTCAAGAAACCGTTCCTATGCTCAAACGTAGGTTTTGTGCTCAAACCCAGAGTCTTATTATGGTTGTTAATAAGTACGAATTAACATTTTGTTTATGTTTTTGGAAGAATTTGGAACTGATTTGAAGCCGAATGCCATTTTCAATGTCCACACTTGACTTTTTGACCGCGTCACCTGGTTTTAGAAAATTGGTTTTAGAACGAAATACATGCTTGAGCACGAGAACAAGTTCATGAATGAGGCCCATATTTCTGGAAAGCTTGTTTTCCAGTTGATTTTTAATGTATTTTCCTCTTCCTCCGTCTTAATGGTACGATGTCCACACGGACAGCGAAGTGATCAGACCTCGGGTAAGGCTTAGCACTGGAAATAATCTCTTCTAGGAATCTCTGAAATATAATGATTGAATTCTGTTTCACAAATTAAAAGCAAACGAGTAACATCGTAGAGCTAGCTTAAGAATAGCTGAGATACTTAGAAACGAGGATTGCTTTTCTCCCTTCAGAACGAGTTTTCCTATTTCTTTATCACACGACTTCAAAATGGCAACTTATAAAATACTCTGGATCGATGATATTTATAATAGTATTTCATCAAATATATAATATCATTATTTATTTGTTTTACGAAGATTACAAACAGCCATCGGTTTCGAGTTGTTCTTCAATGGACCACAAAAATACCTAATATGAGAATTCTACATGAACATCAACTTCCACAAATATCCACCGTTTATACGAAAACAGTCATACGTATGGCACAAAAATCACACTTTCATTCATCCGATTAACGGTATTTATGTTAAAAAGGGAAAACACAGCATCAACACAAATCGGAATGGACAATCTATACACAGCATTAACACAGATTTGAATGGACAATCTATACACAGCATCAACACAGATTGGTATGGTCAATCTATACACAGCATTTACAAAGATCGGAAGGGACAGTCTATACACAGCATCAACACAGATCGGAATGCACAATCTATACACAGCATCAACACAAACCGGAATGGACAAACTATACACAGCATCAACACAGATTGGAATGGTCAATCTATACTCAGCATTTACACAGATCGGAAGGGACAGTCTATACACAGCATCAACACCGATCGGAATGGACAATCTATACACATCATCAACACAGATCGGAAAGGACAATCTATACACAGCATCAACACAAATCGGAATGGACAATCTATACACAGCATCAACACAGATCGGAATGGACAATCTGTACACAGCATCAACACAGATCGGAATGAACAGTCTATACGCAGCATCAACACAGATCGGAATGGACAATCTATACACAGAATTAACACAGATTTGAATGGACAATCTATACACAGCATCAACACAGATCGGAATGGACAATCTATACACAGCATCAACACAGATCAGAATGGACAGTCTATACACAGCATCAACACAGATCGGAATGGACAAACTATACACAGCATCAACACAGATCGGAATCGACAATCTATTCACAGCATCAACACAGATCGGAATGGACAATCTATACACAGCATCATCACAGATCGGAATGGACAATCTATACACAGCATCAACGCAGATCGGAATGGACAATCTGTACACAGCATCAATACAGATCGGAATGGACAGTCTATACAAAGCATCAACACCGATCGGAATGGACAATCTATACACAGCATCAAGACAGATCGGAATGGACAATCTATACACAGCATCAACACAGATCGGAATGGACAATCCATACACAGCATCAACAGAGATCGGAATGGACAATCTATACACAGCATCAACACAGATCGGAATGGACAATCTGTACACAGCATCAACACAGATCGGAATCGACAATCTATACACAGCATCAACACAGATCGGAATGGACAATCTATACACAGCATCAACACAGATTTGAATGGACAATCTATATAGAATTGCAATAACTTTGTCTTGGTTGCAACACAATGTAGTTCAAGAGGAGTCACCGTCAATGATCGCTGTTTCAGATTAGAATGTCCGCATTTGATTATCTGTATCGTAAGTAATACAGACGTTAACAAAAGACGAAGGATAAAGACAAAAACAAACAGCTTAAGTTGTCACCAGAGTCACCACGAAGACACAGACACAAGAGGAACTCAGAGAAACATAAAAACTAAAAGAAACCATAAACAAACTCCCGATTTAAAAAGACAGAGGGGAAACCAGGTGGGATAAAAACATATCCTTGATCACATATATATATTCTTTCTTTGCGTATTGCAGAGTTTTCCTCTCGATTGCATAGTCATTGGTTTGTGTGAGAAAATTACGTCGTTTTCTCAAAAATTGATGACTTTACTCTCACAAACAAATGACGTAACAACAATAACTGCTCACAAGAGCAGCTAACTCTGTAATACGCAAAGACGGAATATGACGTTTGACCCGACTAATTCCATTATACGCATTACAAGTATGAGTGTGTCATCCTTTTGTATGTGATAATTCTATGCTTTGTCATAAATCATGGAATTATCAAACAAATATGAGTTACACAACAGATAAAAAAACCCATATATGATTGTTTAAAAGTTGAACAGAATATTCAAATGGTCTTTGAGTGGTTGCGTCATCGGCAGACAACGTGTTCGTACGATCCTGGCTGTTGTGAGGACGTCAACCAACCACAAACCCAAACCCTGACAAATCAACTGACATTACCCATGGCTTGTTATTTTACACACTAAACATTGATGTCTGACTGTCTGAAAACACTATGTGTTAAAGTACCAATAGTTGCCCTTTTGCGATCTATTGTTTTTTTTATTCCAACAAAAACATAATATTTTATCTTATTGTTCTATTACATGAACAGTAAATGCATTATTAACCTTCTTCACTGATTTCTGGTTCAGATTTTTGTAATACCTTTTAATTTATTTTTAACGTCTTATTTTCCTTTTTGCAATAATGCATATAGCAGTTCGTTCTTCACATGCGCTGTACAACAGGGATTTTGATTGGTGGACATGCGCTGTACAACAGGCATTTTGATTGGTAGACATGCGCTATACAACAGGTATTTTGATTGGTGGACATGCACTGTACAACAGGTATTTTGATTGGTGGAAATGTACTGCACCTTTGAAGGAAGTTTGATCTTTTCTTTATTTAAGGAAAAATTCCAAGGTCAATTTTTAGTTCGTTTATACATTTCATAAAGAAAAAAATGCCAAAACATCAGGGAATGTTTCTTTGAAAAATTTGAACCAGAAGGAACAGGTCTTTTGGCCCAAACAACAGGAAGCTACCGGATGCCAGCACTAGCATGCCTTTGTACATATTGAACTATGACCAATAAGTATCACCTGTGCCGCGGGCTCGTTCCGACCAGATCGTCTGCAGGAATATACCACGTGACTATCGGACTTAATGAACACGTGGTCTATCACGAAATTTTGCGTAACTTCCGTCGGCGCTAAGGGGTTAGCCGAACAATATGTGCATCTGCCGTCTATGTGGACGTAAGGGGAGGTAAATCCTTCGTTAATGAAATGTTGATAGGAAGCTGTGCAAATGAAAGAAATAACGGTATTAAACCAGGACATCGGTATTGCTATCTGACATATTGACGGAGACATTCACGAACTATGTAAATATGCAAACCTGCAGTTGAGTTGGCCGATATATGGGAAACCGTAATACGTTAAGCTCTAGCTATCGAACAAATATTTTCCACATTCAAAGTTGCTGAAACACCTTCACAACTACTTCCTGGATATACCATTATCTTTAACGTCATCATTTATATGATCATTGACCAGAAGATGTTTTGAATTAGAATTTCTCAGCTAGCCGATAACTTTTTTAATGTTAATGAAATAACCAACCAAGGCTGATTTATAGATTTTTTCATATTTTGCTCAGCAGGCCAAATCATCACAAATATGCAAACTGTCTGAAAATTATTGAAAAATCATGCACTATTATAAAAAAAAAAGCATGACCAATTTTTATTGAATGGTTTGTTATGTTTTACGTCTTTTTAACAACTTTGGTTATTTAAGGACGTGCAAGGTTTTTGTCATGGAGGAAAGTCGAAGTTCCCGGAGAAAAACTACCGACCTACGGCCAATACCTGGCGACTGGCCCACGTAGGCCTCGAACCCGGGACCCTGTTAACCACCTGGCAACCCCCCCCCC